TATATATATATATATATATATATATATATATATATAGGACGAAAATAATTTTCAGATCATTTTTTGAGCAAATCATCTATCGGATTTCCAATGTTTGGAAAATGTTCAACGTGGATTCCAATTGTGCCTGTGAAATTCATCGAGATTCTTTCTGGACGAGTAGACTACGAAGGCCGGCGCCTGTATAGTCATAAACTGTCTGCGATTTTCCACATGGCCCCTCGTCGTGAATTGCCATTGTTGTCTTCGATTCGAAAAATCTTGGCCAAAAGAAATCAATGCCCACATTTTCAAGAACATACTATTTGAATCAGAATTGTACTCAATCATCTCTTCTACTATTTTTCCTATTTCAAAAATAGGTATCTACCCTTTTCATTCAATATATTATAAGAACCTAATCATTCTATTAACAAGATGAATTGAGAGGTTTTCTGAAAAAAAAAAAACAGTAGTAAATATATAACCAAGTGCATTTTTCTAGTCAAACAGTTGAATTATTATGAAGTTAATAAGGACGGATTATAAAAATAAGTTGTAACTGTAAAACAAACTTCATCTGACAGACTTTTTTTCCAGAAAGCTCCCCCAAGTGAAAGATTCCAGTAGAATGTATCACTTAATTCTGATGACAATAGTAGCAAAACAGAGAAATCAGAATCAAATATAATCTTTTAATATTTTAATATTCCTTGCTATGTTTCTATAAAACTGACCATTATCCGTTACAGGTGTGTGGCATCCGCTTTGTGGAGAACTGACATTTCCTACGGGACTGGTGTTGCCAGTCTGTTCTGAGATACCCTGCATAGCGACGTTCACATTGCTTCCAGTATTATTGACCCCTGCAAGTCCATAACCGACGTAATAATCTTGTCCAGGTGCTTGAGTAGTCGGCGCGGGATTAGACGCACACTTATAAGACATCATAGCTTCGTTCTCCTTGTAAATTGTCTCTGAATGATGCTGTTGATGATCCTTCACGGAGAATGCATCTGTAGCTCTGTAAGCTAATTGTTCCTGACTCCTGGCCGCGTATCCAGGCTCGCTCTTAAACGCTACTATCTCTCCATTTCTATACACAGACGGTTCTCCAGTTTTGTACGTGACCTCTGTCGTCTTGTAAGTTACTTCTGCTATGGACGGTGTTTTGTACGTAGTCTCAGGGTAAGCCCAGTCAGCGGAGACCGTTGCACCAGGTGCAGCGTACATCGCGTATTCTTGATAATTTTGATACTGATTCTGATAACCATTCGCGTATTCCATGCCGCCAGGCGTTAAATTTTCATATCCGGTAGTTTGTACAGTCACTGGGCCACTACCGGAAAAGTATTGAGGATACTGAGGCTTCAAGGCTTGGCACTTGCGACGGAAACCTCGTGGTCGCCGGCGAAAACTTCCCTCTTCAAACATGTACTCCGTCGAAGGATCAATTGTCCAGTAGTGGCCCTTGCCTGGTCTTCCTAAACCCTTTGGAAGTTTGATGAAACACTCGTTCAGACTCAGATTGTGACGCACTGAGTTCTTCCAGCCTTGATAAGCGCCACGGAAGAAAGGGAAACGTTGCTGAAGAAACGAATAGATCTCTGAGAGAGTTAATCTCTTGCCCGGGCTCGACTGAATCGCCATCACTATCAGCGCTATATAAGAATACGGTGGTTTCTCTTGGCGCCGCGCTCCAGGCTTTCTTGGTAACTCTGCACTAGACGGATTATGTATCAACGGGTCTAAACTCTGATCCTGATTCAGATTGTTCGTCATCGACAAATTGGATCGAGGTATCACTGACGTGGGATTGGAATGGCCTATGGTAGACTGGTCTTGAATATGCAGATTCGAGTCAGTTTCGTTCTTCATCGTGATTCGCGCATTGTCCACGCTGCTTCCGCGAGCAGTCGACGGGACGATCACTGTTTGATCCATAGTTTGATCGTCACGCAACAGTGAACATTCTAAAATTCAAGCTACAGCTCATTCACTTCACTGCTCATTCAATATCTACGGGAAGTTAGGTAAACAGTAAATTGGTATAGGTAGTATTAGATTATTACTATTAGACACGATAATCTCACAAATTCCAATTCCAGGTGTATCCCATGCCGCGACAATGATCTAAGAAATCATTCAAGAGAACTTGAAACGTCCTCGTCGCTCGCTCGCGTCACCTGGTCAATGTCTCACTCACGATCGCAACTCGAAATCGGATTTCCCTGTATTTATTGTTTATGTTTACTGCCTTCACGCGCCGTGAACGAATTCGCGTGATGGCGGCCCGCGCGTAATCACAATCAGGAAGAAGAAGAGGAAACAGGCCCTTCCTTATTTACGTGTACGCCCGATTTTGTAAATTGTTTGCACGGCGGCGAACGGTGGGGTCAATTATTTAGACTTGCCACTTGGCACACGTTGCGCTGATGCGTCGCTAAGTGTTTTCGGATGACTGGACCTCGGAATCAACTCCGGACCTGGTGGAAGCTTGATACATCGCGATGACGCGAGCCAAGCAGCCACGAACCAGCCTCATCCCCGGTAGGCGTGATGAGCCGAGGGGATGTGGCTCGACTGTTCATTGGTCGGCCAACAGTCTACGATACTAAAGCTCACACTCGTGGCCAATAGCATTGGTTCCCGTTACGATATCACGCCTGATAGAAATAAGCTCCGATTACTGAGAACAATCGAACATGCTGTGATTACTTGATGAGAGATTGTAACGAAGAAGATTGCATAATTCGTCGTTTTTATTATTTGATTACCGAAAAAGACATGGATGATTCGAGGAATTATGTTTAATTAGTGCCGTATCATTGATTCCTTCTTCTTCTTCTTCTTTTTTTTTATTCAGAAGAATTCTGATAGATTACTTTTGTCATCACTGTACTTCGTGTTCTTGTAATATTGTTTTTATTTGATCTGATAAGAGTATCGCTGCAAGTCTAATTATTATTATTATTATTATTATAGATATACTCTATTGAACAAAATTTTGATGATTCAGGAAGGACCGTATCTTTCATTCGCGTGCATACTCCATATATAGGTTATTTGATTACTTTGACTAATTAAATATGAAAGAAGAGCGTTCTAAAAAATACTGCTTCTCAATGTGATGTTTCATTTCCAGGTGAAACGGATGAAAATGGATTTATCAATCTTTTCGCTTTCATACAGAAATCATGATTGTTTATTTCCTAAATGATTCCAGAGGATATGATATTCACGAGTTAAACAGGACTGCCTCATTTTGTTCTCTTGTATCTTACTTGTAATAATTTTCATTTATACCTAGAAAAATGGACAAAAATATGGCACATTATGCAGAATTCCATTGCATAATGTGGTTTGTGTGTGATTAGAAAAAATCACAGTTTCAATTTAATTGAATCAATGGTGGACAATCGTGGTTCGATTCAGAGCTACAATTTCCTTATTTCAATAATGCCTGTGTAAACGATTAGTACTTGTGAGCAACGAGTATCACGATTTCAGGATATGCGTTTGCAGACGGTACGAAAAAGCTCGGGGAAACGATTGGTCCACCTGTTGACCAACGAGATGTTAGAAACTACGCTCCGCCCGACTATAGAACCGCCCTCCATTCTGTTCCTTCCGGAATTTTACATCATCGAAATTGTCCCGAAATTAGGGCCAATTATCTGGAAATTTTGTCCGTGTTGTCAGTTTCCAACAGACCTTAAACGTCATCGCAAATTTCCGTTCATGGAATACAAAGTACCGGACAATGAAGAAAGAACGATTATTTTCTGATGAAAACAGGAAGATCGTTACTACCACGTTCACGATTTCAAGAATTAATTGCGTTGCTTCTCACCTGAAAATCCGTGTAAAGATTTTCTTCTCAGAGTTTAAAGATCAAACTGAATAGAAAAATTCTCTGTATTTTTTAACCATTGTCTAGATTTTCACACTTACTTTTTGTCGTTTTTAATGAGTTAAAATGTCATCTTCTATCTGAAGTGAAAATATTGTATCATCATCATTACAAGATGGAGATGTACAAGATCTAAAACTTGATAATATAAAAGGCAAGTATGTAATTTCTGAAATATATTGTTTCAGTATGAAGTTTTTAGTAAATAACGTAAGACGTTATTTTTCTGTTTGTAAAGTCTTTGAACTCTCTTATCATAGTGTTCTCCGCCCCACGATCGAGTCACAATGATCCGCGTGTCAATTGAGTCGTCGATCGCAGTCGATTGAACCAAAGTGTTTACATATCGGAATACGTGACGGGGTGTCAGATAACTGGTCCTGAAAGAATGGAGATCGACACTTATCAAGAATAATATATTCACGCCTACGTGCATATACACGCGTATTACAATCCGCTAAAGACTTGATTCATATCTCTATGTAAGTGTAATAAACTTACATTTAATTGCAACAACATGTGCAAACGATCAAACGATTTCGAAATCATCTGTGAAATAACAATAATAACAGTAGAATGATTTCTTTTTTGAATTTTTATAATTATATCGCACAATACTTAGAATTGAAATATTACGATTCAGTGAAGATTAAAAATGAAATTTCAGTGTGGATTACGAAGAACGTGCCTGGCAATATTCTTCGCCGATTGTAGAAAAAAAAAAAAAAAGTATCATACCGTAATGAAGGAATTTCGCGAAAAATTTGAAAAATGAAGTATCGAAGGGGCAATTGTTTAATGTCATCCAACGACGATATCATATGCCCCAAGCTCTCTAAACCACCGAATTCTCATGGAGTTTGTTTGCCTTACAGCGAACGATCCGACGAAAGAGAAGCGTCACGGCCATCTTGTCTTTGCCTACTCGAAATCCTGCAACATGCGTTTCGTGGTTCCGTTAACTGTGCCACATTGCTCTGAGTGTTCCTCGCTATTTATTTGTAATATTATAAAAATTAAGAATCTAGGAAAAACCCCTGAAACGTCACCTTGACATTATCTTTAACGATTAACTTTTAAAATAATTTCCTCTTAAATTTATCATTTATCAAACGAATTAATTACAGTTTCACACAGTTACAGTGAATTTGAAAATTCTCCTTATTGTAAGTAATGTAAATTTCCAACTTGACTGAGAATGATGTAGCTTCCCGACGCTT